AATCTTTTTTTTTAATATGTGTAGTGAGGATGATCTCTACGAGATGACACAGAGCAATTGTGTGTGTGTGTGTGTGTTTACTGTATAGGCAAGTGTAAAAAAGCCAAATGTAAAAGAACATGTAAAATGGTATGCAGCCCTTCGTAAGAGAAAGAAACATGAAAAGAGTCACGTATCTGCTCACTGGTGGAGAGAAAGAGCAAGAATTTTTTTAATATGTGTAGTGAGGATGATCTCTACGAGATGACACAGAGCAATTGTGTGTGTGTGTGTGTGTTTACTGTATAGGCAAGTGTAAAAAAGCCAAATGTAAAAGAACATGTAAAATGGTATGCAGCCCTTCGTAAGAGAAAGAAACATGAAAAGAGTCACGTATCTGCTCACTGGTGGAGAGAAAGAGCAAGAAAGATAAAGCAGGAGCTAAAGAAATGTGGCACTAAGCCAGGGTGTCTGGGGGTGGTGGGAAAGGGGGACCTGAGGTGACCCTAGTCCGGACAGGGATGGTGACATCTCTCCTGCTTGCCCTTTCTGCAGCGTTGCCTCTGGGAACCACAGTGATGCTCTGAGTACCAATAAGGGAATAGTTTAACCAGAGTGCTGCCGAGCCCAGATGGAAGTGCAGACAGTTAGATGCGCTGTGTGACAGTGAGGGCCGGGACTGCACGCAGGAGGGGCGGGTTTTGTCTGGGTACCGTAAGCCAAAGACAGTGACGCTCCTGTTGGTACACTGGCTTCTAGGGATGTAGGTTGGTAGCTCTCAAACTGCTTCCTAGTGAGATTGAACAAATACAGAAATATATTGTAAAAAATGAGAGTAGCTGGTATTTGTGTGTGACAGAGAAAGACAGAGCCAGACAGACATAGTAGGGATCGATTGCGCCAAGCTGCTTTCCCACCCTTTTAAAACTGTGAGGTAGTCTGAGTTGCCCAGCATGCCCTTGAACTTGCAGTCCTCCTGCCTCAGCCTCCCAGAGTACTGATGTCCTAGGCCACTGCACCTGGCTGACAGCCAGCTTTCTCCCTGTCTTAGAAGTTACAAGTGAGAAAAAGAGGAAGGTTGGAAAGATCCCTGTGGGTGTTAGATTGGACTATCAGCATGGACTCGTGGCTTTTCTGTAGGTCTGCAGTGCAGATTACGTCTGCCTGTGTGAGCGCAGTGCTGCCCGGTGGCGATGAACTTAGTGCCCAGATCCTGTTTTTTATTTTTGGTACCAGGCTTTGGACTCAGGACCTTGTTCTAAATCCCTGGCCCCCAGACCCTGGTTTTTAAGAGCGTTCTCAGGTAGAAGGAACCAGGGCCGGGCAGGGAGAACACGAAAGGCCAGGGCGGGTGGCTGGTTTTGTGCAGAGGTAGAGCTGCTCCGAGGAAACCAGAGGCATTGAAAGCACCCAGGAACTGACCCACAGATGCCGCCAGGGGCCAGGTCCGAAACAAAGTAATGGTCTTACTGGGTTCTACACACCCAGAAGCAGATGTGGGAACAATGCAGAGTTGAGTCCTTGGCAGACGGAGGGCACCGTGCAGACCGCCTCGGAAACCAGCATCTGGAGCGGAGGCGGCCGGCCCTGTAGGGCAGCTGGGAAGACTGGGTGGCTTTCGGGTCTCTGTCATGGCCGTAGCTGCGTTCCAGTAAAACTGGTTAGGAAAAGCTGTGGCCTGCAGGCCTTTGTCCGTGGCCCTGTTTTAGGAGACCGGCTACCCTCAGCTTCCCGAGAGCACTGTGGTAGGAGGCTGTGGTGCAGACAGCCCTCCCTGTAACCTGGCTGTGCGGACGCAGGTGTGGCGTCAGCCTCGCAGGTGTGCAGCAAGGTAGCCGCTTCGTCCTCGGTCACATGTCACGTGTTTGGCACACAGGCTCCGTATGGCACTGTGCCTCGGGGCCTCTCAGCTGCACAGCCTGGCATGAAGGCGTGGCCGGGGACCGTGGACGGTCATCCCACTCGCCCAGGTCTCCTGGCGTGTGCACTAGCGGTGAGGGTGTTAGCCGGGAGGACAGAACCCCCACCGAGGGAAAAGCCGGGGTGCTGCGCCGGGCTGGCGGGCTCTGTCGGCGTGGGTCACAGCCGCGGGCTGCTGTCGTTGACTCAGGAAGACCTCCGCGTGGATGGCCGTGGCTGTGAGGACTACCGATGCATTGAAGTGGAGACCGATGTGGTGTCCAACACCAGCGGGTCTGCCAGGGTCAAGCTGGTGAGCCCTGGGGCGAGGGCCGGTCCCCTCCCGACACACCCGCCCCGTCCCTGCAGTGGTCCTGGCTGCCTGCCCTGACCGAGGGCCCTTCTCACTCGTGTCCACAGGGTCACACAGACATCTTGGTGGGGGTGAAAGCGGAGATGGGGACGCCGAAGCTGGAGAAGCCGGACGAAGGCTACCTGGAGTTCTTTGTTGACTGGTCAGTACTGTGCGGCTGTTTTGTTTTGTTTGGTTTGGTACCGGTAATCGAACTCAGGGCCTCACGCTTGCCGGGCAGACACTGCACCACTGAGCTACGTCCCGGGCCCTGTGCAGGTGTTTTTAAAGACGATTTAAAGTGTGGAGATTGGGAAAACAAACCTAGTTTCCTATGGAGCCTTCGCTTGTCCTGCATTTGTTTAGCCCTTCAGCTCTCCAGGAGCTATGTGCTGACTTGGTACAGGGCAGGACTTGTCCAGTGGCCTGGCCTTGTTCGGCCTTGTTTGGCCGTCTGAGAGGAAGGACACCAGCCCAGAATGTAGCTGTGAGGCCAAGCCAAATGTGTCACTGCTCTGAAAAGTGCCAGACCAGATGGTGAGGGGCGTTTGGTTAGAATGGCCCGTCCCTTCCTGCTGTAGCTCTGCAGAAGACTTCTCGACTTGCTAGGCACACGGGGCCTCAGGTCCACGCAGCGCCCACCAGGCTGTGGAGGGGGCAGCTGGGCGGGCACAGTCGCCCTCCTGCAGGTCTGCCAGGCTGGTTCATCGGTCTCTCTGTGCCCAGTGTCTCTGTCACAGAGGTGGGGATGACAGAAGTGGGGGTGAGGAGGAGGTGAAGGTACAGCAGGCGCCCGGCCCTTTGCCTGGTGCTAGGGGGCTCTGGCTCATGTCATCTCCCTCCTTGTCCAGGGAGGGTCTGGCCCCCACTTCTGTCTGGGACCCTGCTTCCAGCGCCCGTGTGGACGATGGCCTGGCAGGCTGTCTGTCTGCTGGCCCCTGGAGGCAATGCTGTGTCAGGTGTCCCCGAGGCACCTCTGCCCACATGGCCTGGCAGGGAGGACTGACAGAACACAGCAGTGCCGAGATTTGGACAGCGGTGAAAACACAGGGCTCATCTGCGACATTCCTGCCCGCTGGAGACTGGGCACCTGGCTTTTGGCTCAGGGCTGGCCACAGAGGTGCCCTCTCTTCACACGGCACAGCTCCAGACCCCTGCAGAGAGGGCAGGTGTGGGGCACAGAGGTCCCTGTCCTACGGATGCAACTCGAGCTCACTGCTGATGCAGAGCCTGCCTGTGGAGTGTGCAGAGGGGCGGCGACCTTGTAGGGTCTCTGCTCGGGCCGGGCTCTGCTCTGTCTGACTCTGACTGCTCTGTCTGCTTTGCGTGGCTGGAAGGGGCCGGCTTTCGAGGGCTTGTGGTGGAGGCCCGGGGTAGCCACGACGGTCTCTGCCCAGTGTTGCCAGCGCTCCTGCCTCCGCCGGCCCCGGCTGCCCCATGGAGCTGGCTGTTGCACAAGCACGGAGGGCGGTAACCTTGCTCAGGCCCCTGCTCGTCCCTTTGCTCCTGGAGGAGGTGAATTCCTGTCCTGACCTTGACCTGCCCGGGCCAGGGCAGGGGATGGTGACCGAGGAGAGGAGCTGCCCTTCGCTTTCCTTCCCTTGCCCTGCGTCGCCTCTGCCTCCATCACTGGTGGCTGTCACTGTCACTCAGCTGCACGAGAGCGCGGGCGCTGCCCTGGCTGCGTGTACCGGGGAGTGTTCACTGTCAGTCCGCCTGCCCTCGGCCCTGCGGGGTTCCCTGGGGAAGAGCTGGCTTCTGGAAGCGGGGTCTTTCACCGCCATCTGTCTTCCCCGCTAGTCCAGGAGGGACCTGGGCGGGCTCTGAGCGCTCCGTGGGATGGGCCGTCTCCAGGTGGCTCGCAGGCCTTTCCTGCAGGGGAGTGAGGCTGCCGGCTGCCGGCTGCCGCCCAGACCAACCCTGCCGGGCCCCAGGGAGCAGCCCTTCACTGCTTCACGCCTTGCCCGAGGTCGTGCCCACCTGGGCGTGCCAGCAGGAGGGTGCCGCACGCCTGCCCTCCTCGCGGCCTGCCCTGCACTCCCCATCGAGAGAAAAGTAATCGGTGCACGGGGTGGGCGTAGGGGTCCCTGCTGCCACTCTGGGTCCGGCTTGATTTCATTCTTTACCATTATTTAAATTCCCTGGGGTGGAGAGGTCTGAGGAAGCTAACTGCTTTCCCGCTAACTTGTGTCCCTTTGGGTTTGTCTACCTGAAATGATGATACGCGGGCCTGGGGAGACGCGGGACAGAGCTTCTCCGTGTCTGCCGTGTCTCGGGAACCCTGGAAGCGCTGTGGGTCGGCTCTCTGCCCAGGCTGCCTGCCCACCTGACCCCAGCCTGCTCCAAGATGCCTGTCTTCGTGTTCTCTGAACATGAAGCAGTTAGACTACCAAGTCCTGCCTCTTGCCTGTGGCTTGCTGGTGGGAGCCTGAGAATGGACGTTTTAGATGAGAACTTGGCCACTAGAAGACCGTTTCTCTCCATCTACAGCCCAGAAGGCCGGTTAAGTAAGCCTGCACGTCACTCTGGCTGTCACTAGGTGGCGGGCCATCGAGTCTCTCCTCGGCCTTCAGGACTGCTTGGCCTCTCGGGGAGGCCGGGGCTTTAGTGGGGGCTTAGGAGATGTGTTTCATTCCCAAACGTTTGCTTCACTTCCCCTGTGATTTTAACACCCTCACAGTATCGTCTCCGTGCCCTTCACAAACTCAGAGCCGGGATCTCTGAAACCCACTGCGGTGTGTGGGGCCGCTTCCCTGCTCCTTGTCTGCTTCGTGCTGCCGGGAGCGGGTCAGCCCTGGGCCGAGGGCTGGGGAAGGACAGAGGACAGGCAGCCTGCAGGAGCCACGGAGCCGTTTGTCCTCAAGTCTCCGGAGTGGTGAGGTCACTTCCGACCCTGCTCAGGAGCCTGCGGTGGAAGGTTCAGAGGGCGCTGCTTCTGCACGTAGCCTGCTCCGTACCCTGAATTACAGGCTTGATTGGTTGTGGAGGAAGCAGCCGTGGGCCTGGCGTCCAGATTCCATACCAGGTGAATGTGGCCCTCATCTCAGGCCACTGGGTTAAACCAGAGATGTCCGGGCAGGAGGAGCAGAGCGGAGGTGTGGGGTGCAGAGGCATGGGCTGGGAGCAGCAGTGTGTCTGGTTCTGTGTGCCGCTGTGCCGCAGCTCTGGGGCAGGGAGGGTCCTGCCTGGGAGCATCTCTGTCTGGCTGCTGACTGTAGCTGCAGAAAGCCCTACTGGAAGGCTGCGTCGTGGTGCATATGATTTGATTTGGTTTGGTTTTTCCGGTACTGGGGATCAAACTCAGGGCCTTGTGCTTTCCAGACAGGCACGAAGCCACTGAGCTACATCCCCGGCCTTCGTCGTGGTGCATGTGAGCAGGGAGCTGGAGTTGGCCGTCAGGGTCCACTCCCCACCAACTATGTATCTGCCCACCAGTGTGTCTGACGGCGGTTGTGGTCCAGGACTAAGTCCCACGGCCAGGCAGGGGTGAGCCCAAGGAGAAGCTCACGGACGGTCTAGAGGCAGCCCGGCATGTGGGGAGGGCTGGGGGCCCTGGACGCCTGACTGAGGCCCTGGGCACACCGCATGCCCTTCCTGACTTCGTTTCCATACCTCTGAAGTGGAGACAGCATGGTGGCAGAGCGCTTGCTTCAGAGGTGCCAGGCTCTGGGTTCAGTCCCCTCTCATGTAAAGTAAAATGTCACCCAGACATCCCTGGGCAGCTGTGAGAGTGCAGTGGGTTAATACTCTGAGGAGCTCAGCAGTGTGTAGCATGTGGGGCACCTTCTTAAAAGTCATCCCAGGTATGTGTGGCGTGGTGGCACAGGCCTGTGATCCCAGCACTTGGAAGCTGAGAGAGGGCTGTGAATTCGAGGCCAGCCTGGACTCCACAGTGAGACCCTCTCCCAAGGGGGGCAAAAAGTTGTCTGAGTTCCCCTCCTTGTAAAATGAGTCACCCAGCAGGTCACATCTGCGCATGAGGTTTTCATTTCACCCGTGGGGTGTTTGCTAAAAGGGAAATTAAAATGCCCGGAGAGCTGGGGATGTAGCTCAGTTGGCAATGTGCCTGCCCTGCAAGCACAAGGTCCTGAGTTCCATGCCTGGTACTGGAAAAGAAAAAGAAAATGCCCGGGGGATTTAGTTTAATGGTTCCTCTGTCTGCCTGGAAAGTGCAAGAACTGGAGTTCGATCCCCAGTACCAAAAATACATAAACACAGTGCTCAGTGAAAAATATCTTTCCAACCCTGGCACAACACGTTGGGCACTGTGCCCTGGTCCCGCGATTCTTGCTCAGAACGGTCCTCTGCCAGCCTGCCTGCCTGGGAGACAGAAAAAAGGGCAACACATTTAAAACCAAAGGCTTTGGCGGGGGTAATTTCCCCTCAGAGAAAACCCTCTCAGGAGCCCACAGGCAGATCTGCTGAGACACTGGCTGCGGTGCTCAGCCCTGCCAGGAGGGGGCACCACCACCTCAGGCTGAGTGCAAATGCCCTGCAGAGGGATTCTGGAGAGCTCACAGCACAGGACTTCAGATGGCCAAGCGTTTCAAATTAGAAGCAAGTTATACTGTGCAGGAAATAGAGACCTGGTCCCTGGTGATCCGGTTTTTCCCCAAAGCTGAGCTGCATTTCACAGCTTGATGCCCAAGTCATGCAGAGGCAGCGAGGGAACCGTGGCGTTGCTATGGCAGTGAGGCAGTTTCCCTGGCTCTTTAATTGGCCTCCCCATGGCCGACAGGAAGCCGAGATAATTAGACCAGCAGAGTCACTGTACAATGACACACAGATCCTTCCTTTTGGTGAAGCGTACTGGGCGCTGACCCAGGGAGTGCAGTATTACCCATTTCTGTTTTGAGATGAGGTCTCGCTAAGTTGCCCAGGCTGGCCTCACACTTGTAACCCTCCCGCCTCAGCCTTCTGAATAGCTGGGATTACAGTCATGTGTCATGCCATCTGCTGTTGCCCACTTTTTAGCTGGGTTATTTTTTTTATTTTTATTTTTTTTGGTTTTTTTTTTTTTTTTAATTTTTTTGGTTTTTTGAGACAGGGTCTCACTACGTAGTTAAGACTGACCTGGAACTCACTATGTAGCCCACGCTGGTCTCAAACTCACAGTGCTCCTCCTGCCTCAGCCTCCCGAGTGCTGGGATTATAGGCGTGTGCCGCTATGCCCAGTTTAGCTGGGTTATTTCTTTTATCTTTTTGTTTGGGGGGTGGTAGTAGTGGAGACTGAGCTCCACCACTGCGTATCCTGGTGCGTTTTCTTTGTTGAGGCAGGGTCTCCCTGCAGCCAGGGCTGGCCTTGGACTTCAGATCCTCTTGCCTCGATCATTGTAATAGCTGGGATTTGAGGCATACACCTAGACCAGGGCTACTCCTTCAGGTGTGACGGGCACAGCAGGACATCCGGTCTCCCCACCCCGCTGGCAGCTCCTGCTCCCACCTCCACCGTCCGCTCCCTGCTGTCACCCTATTCTCCTGCCTCGGGGGCCGCTGCAGGCCTGGCTGTGTCCCCTGCTCGGTGTCTATAGAGACGGGGGCCGGAAGACTTCGGGCTTCTTACCTTTCCTGGCTGCCGTCATCACTTGCCTCCCCGACACACGGCTTCAAGTGTGTTGGGCCTAAGCCCTTAGCGATTTCCTGTGAAGCCCTGAACATTGATTGCATCTTGTGGGTTCTTTATAGAAACAATTGGATACAAGTATCAAAAGGCCAAAACCGAAATTTTTTCTCTTGAACAACAGCAGATAAATTAAAGGGGGATAACTGTTTAATCAGCCAACAGTCTTTGTCTTGTTTCTTTTAGCGCGGTGACAGCCTAAGTCTGTGCTGGAACCCTGCCTCTGCCGCGTGCGGGCGTCTCCGAGTCCCTGCAGAGTAGCGCAGCTGTGGCACACACTGGTTCGGGTGTAGTGGGAGCCCCTGTGAGCGCTGCCTGGAGCCGCCAGAGCGGAGTCTCCACTGCTCCTGCTTCACCCTGGCCAGAGGTGTCTTCTGTGGTAGTCACGGGAAGGCGGTCACACAGCCTGGCCAGGCGGCAGACGCACCCTCCCCTCGCTTTTCCTTCCGGGCTGAGCGCTCCGCCCAGGCTGTGCCCCGCCCTTTGCTCCTGGCATCTGGACACACTCGCATGCTTTGCTCCTGTTCTGCACAGCTCAGCCAATGCCACCCCTGAGTTCGAAGGCCGCGGAGGTGACGACCTGGGCACGGAGATCACCAACACCCTCTACCGGATGTTCAGCAGCCGGAGCAGCGTGGACCTGCAGTCTCTGTGCATCAGTCCCCGGGAGCACTGCTGGGTCCTCTACGTGGACGTGCTGGTGAGTGCGCAGGCCGGGGGAGGAGGCGGCTCCTGCAGTAACGGTGTGGGGAGAGATGCGGTGTGCGTACGACACACCCGTACGGCCATTGTGCTGAGCATCACAGTCCACGCAGTTCCCCAGAGACGTCGTCGGTGCTGCGCAGGGGCAGGCGGGTCTGGAGGTGCAGAGCTCTCCCCTGGCCCTTTGTGAGGCCGCTGTGATGGTCCCTGCCCTAGGTGAGGAAGCCAGGAGCAGAGAGGGTGGGGGTCCGGCCCGAGAGGCCCAGAGCCCTCGTCCTCTTCCTGGTCCGGCAGCAGTGAGTGCGCCGCTCCGGGCCCCTGCACTGCAGCCCCGGCCCAGCCTGTTCCCCACTCCCGCCACTCCTGCTGTGGCACTGGCCGCAACCTCCCAGCTGCAATCGGTTTCCCAATGCGTAGCAATGCGCTCATCGGCTGTTTTCTCCATTCTTATTAATTGCGGGACCCTTGAGAGCAGTAACAGTATCCTCTCCTCAGGCTGAGGATGCGAGGCTAAGCTACCAGCCAGGCAGGGCCTGCAGGGAACGGAGATAATGAAGAGCTGGACGGATAGGACAGCCTGGACGTGGACAGGCTAGCGCCTTCTGGACGCCTCCCGGACAGTGGGCGGGCGTGGTGAAGAGAACCTCGCGGGGAGAGTGGCGGCGTGCGCAGGCCAGGTGCGCTCTGCATGCTCACGCTCCGGTGAAATCCGTCTGCGCCTCCTCCTTCCGACGTGCAGGGGCCGCACCGTGGCGCGATCCCCGCCATAAGGGCCTGGTGCTGCCCAGGGGCCCGCGCCTGTGCTTAGTGATCTCCGTCCTCCTGGCGTGTGCGTGCGGGGCAGCGACGGGAGCAGCCGAAGCCCACTCTCCTGTGGCCTGGTCTCGGCTCAGCTCGGCACTGGCCCTTGGCCCCCGGCAGGCGCTGTGTGTGGGGGGCACATCTGGGCACCGCCTGTGTCCCAGCTTCTTCAGATCCTTAGCGTCTGGGTTTCTTCTCACCTGTTCTCTGAGAAAGGCTTTATTCCGGAAGAAGACTGCATCTGAAGCATCGCCCTCAGGAAAGCTCTTACCTAGAAAAGGAGTTTTGAGGTGGACCAGCGTTCCTCACTCCCGGGACTTGCCATGCAAACGAGTGTTTGCCTCAGCCCAGATGGGCCTGAGCAGGCCGGGCCTGTGCTGGGGGCTCCTGTGTGAGCCTGTGGAGTCGGGCCGGTGCCCGGCCGGGTGAAACGGGCTGCTGGGCTCCATTTCTGACAGTGTGCTGGGTAGCGCGCAGGCAGAACCGTCCTCAGACCGCCCGGCTGGCACCTTCCGTGGCCCGCTGGTACTTTCATGAGAGTGGGGTGCAGCCTCAGTGAGACCCCGCTGTTCTTTGCTCTTCTGAGCGGTCGGTGGCCCGAGGTTTTACACTGACGGCCGGGCCGTGTTGTCCTGGCAGAGCGCAGTGGCCATGGTCTGGTGCTCACAGCCGCCCACCCGGCCCACGACAGGGCGCGGTGATGTCTCCCCACTGTGCTGCCCTGAGGGCCGCCCTGTCCTCCCTGTCCCAGGCAGGCGCACAGCCCGGCTGCTGCCCTGGGTCCCCTGTCCCTTCTCGTTCGGCTGTGCTGGCCCAGTGGTGAGCGGAGGTGGGGAGCATCCTGGAGCGACATCCCTGTCCTGAGGGCCACCCCACGGGGGCGCAGTGTTGCTGGGGGTTGGGGGGGACCCCTGAGCTCAGCAAGTGGCAGGGGTGGGGTCAGACCCAGGCTGCCCCACTGCCAGCCCGGAGTTCCCCGCAGTTGCGGGGTTTTCCAGCCCCCCGCTCCCTCAGCTTCCTGCCTCTGGCCAGCGGGAGTGGGGATCAGGGCTGTGTCTGCCCCGTGCAGTGCACAGTGGGGCAGAGTGAGTCAGCCGCGTGGCACAGGCTTCTGTCCCCATCAGGAATGGCATCACCCCTGCCCAGTGTGCCCGGCGCCCCGGGGTTGGGAATGGAGAGCCGCTGGGACGTGGGCAGCAGACATGAAAGCCCCCCTCACTGTGCCGGACAGGCTTCTCGGAGCAGCTCCGTGGGCAGGGGCTGTTTATCCTCACAGGGGCCCAAAGGTGGGGTGCCACCCAGGGGTGCAGAGATGGACACACCCTGAGCATCCAGCAGCGGCCGTCAGGGCCTGGCTGGCAGGACGAGGTCCCGCTCGGCTCGATGGTGGCAGAGGCTTTCAGGCGCCCTGTGCGGTGGGGCCCTGGCTTCTGTGGGAAACCTGCCACCGTTCACAGCTACTCTGTGGGGCGGGGGACGGAGGTTGAACAGAACCACAGAGGTGCGGGGGGCTAAGGGGCTGTGCCTGTCCCTATCCTTTCCCGGGCCACACCCGAGTGAGGCCCTGTGCTCTGAGCTGCTGCTGGGCGCAGGCTCCGGACCTCAGGCGCTCTGGGACCTGGTGGGGCTGGGACGGCTCTGTCCTGCGTCATGTGAGGCCTTGCTCAGAGGGGCCCCGTGATGCCCATGCACACGGGGTAAGTGACGCCTGCTGTTCTTCTCCGCCCGGTCTCCCTCAGCTGCTGGAGTGCGGGGGAAACTTGTTTGATGCCATCTCCCTTGCCGTGAAGGCTGCGCTCTTCAACACCAGGTAGGTCCTCAGGGAACACAGACACCAAGGACAGTGAGGGTGAGATGTAGCAAAGGGCGAAGTCTGTCCGCGTACCTCTCCAGAAGAGAGACTACCCAACGTGACACGAATGCAGAGCCGGGCATGGCAGCTTGGGGTGGGAGGATCGCTATGCATTCGAGGCCATTCTGTAGCAGGATTCTGCCCCAAAACGCATTTCGGTGTTTATTTCTGTTAGTTTCACTAGTGAACCTGTGTTTTAAGGAGAGGTATTAGGAACTACAGAAAAGGGATCGCGAATACGGCAACCACGGGCCAGCTGTTCCCAGCCGGCTCTGTCTCCAGCGCCGTGAGCAGTGCCGGGTGCAGTGGGTACTCGTGCCTGGCCCGAGCTCGGGTGGGGAGCAGGAGGAGTCTGTGCCCCCCAGCCAGGCCGGGGGCTGAGCCCTCCGAGGTGGTGGCGCTTCTCCCTCCGCCACACCAGGGCTCAGGAGTCCGTGGCATTTGGAAGTGGATATGGGGCAGGTTCATTCCTCGGAGAGAGCTTCCGTGAAGCACAGAGCGGGTCGGGCCATTAGAAAGGAGGGTTGAAACCACGTAGAGGGTAGCCGAGGACACGGTTGGCTGCGTGAGCAAAGAGGCTTTCTTCGTCACGGCTGCTGCGGGCCCTTGGGGTCCCCACGTTGGGGGTTCAGAGCCACACAGCACAGCGCGCCGTTCTCTGGCGGCTCTCACGTCCCGTGTCTTGCCGTCCGCCTGTTGTGCTTCACTTCCGGCAGTCCTCAGTCTTACTGTGCCCTCCCGGACGGGCCTTGCTCGTGTTAGGCAGTTCCAGCCGTTCCCACATTCCAGAGGAGAGCGCTCCTCCTCCTTCCAGTGGTGGAAGTTTTGGTTGTGCTCCTGCCTCTAGGATACCGAAGGTTCGCGTCCTGGAGGATGAAGAGGGGTCAAAGGACATCGAGCTGTCCGATGACCCTTACGACTGCATGCAGCTCAGCGTGGAGAGCGTGCCCTGTGTCGTCACGCTGTGCAAGGTGTGGCTCGCGTCTCCTCAGACCACCAGCCCGGCTTGGTTACGGGGAGACACCGCCCTACAGCGCTCTCCTTTCTCGTGGGAGGCCTGTTGGGAGCGCAAGGCAGGGTGCGTCTTAAGCCTCTTTGCCTGCCATGTCCCACGGGCGGTGCCCCGGCTACGCTTCCTTTAACTCCCCCAACTCTGGGGCCTCAGGTGGCTGAGGGTGTTGGGGTGGGAGCAGTGTCCCGTCTGTGTCCGAGACGTTGGGCCCAGTCCTGGGTGTCTCTCGCGTGCGTGCGTGCGTGCATGCGTGCGTGTGTGTGTGTGTGTGTGTGTGTGTGCGTGCGTGCGTGCGTGTGTGGTTGGTGCCCTCCCCAGGGTCACCTCGGAGCCTGCAGTGCGTGACTCCTTCACACGGAGCTGCCTGGCCCGAGCAGGCCAGCTGCCCTTGGCCCGTGGGTGCGCCACGGCGGTACGCGGGACGTCCCTGGCCGTGCCTGTGACCTCCTGCCCCTGCTCCTCTGCTGCGGAGCCTTGTTCCTTGGACCCGAGCAGCCCATTTCCAGGGTGTTTCTATTCCACACTGCATGGTGGCCCAGAACAGAAGCGTCATGCATCCTTCAGCCTTGGACAGGTGGTAGCAGGCATGGGAGTTCACGAATGGGCATTGACGTCTCCGCCTGCGGGCTCTCGGTGGGGACCCGGTGCACACGAGCCTCCTTCCCCTTGCAGATCGGCTGCCGGCACGTGGTGGACGCCACCCTCCAGGAGGAGGCCTGCTCCCTGGCCAGCCTGCTGGTGGCCGTCACCAGCTCAGGGGTGGTGACTTGCATGAGGAAGGTGGGCAGGGGCAGCCTGGACCCTGAGAGCATCTTCGAGATGATGGAGGTGAGGCGGGGTGAGCAGAGCTGGGGGCAGCGAGGGCCTGGCCAGGGGGCTGGGGCGCGGCCCTCACCTGGGCGGCCTTTGCTCACGTGGAGTCCCTTGTGACTCTCGGATCCCAGCGTTTTGTGATTTGCGGGGCTTTGCTCCTTGGCTTGCCGCTTCCTGTGCCTTCAGGGGAGACTGAGGTGGCCCAGGGGCTGCAGGGCCAGGATGGCTGGCGTGGAGCCCAGGACGGGTGCGTGGCTGCACAGCCTCTCCCTGCATCTTCCTCACCATCTGGAAGCCCTGGCAGGGCCTGGCTGCTCACCGTCTCCCCAGCCCATCCTCTGGATGGCTGCCTTGGCCTCCTCGCCGCTGGGCAGGCTGTTTTCCTTTGGTAGCTGCTGTGTCACCACCCATGCCCAGGGATCGCACACTGCCGGGAACTGGTCCCGAGCACTGGCCCCTCGTTCTGAGGAGCAATGCCTTCCCTGAAGGCTCCCAGCACATGGTGTCCGTGTTCCCTCCCTCCCTCCCTCTTTCTCTCTTTGTTTGCACTAAGCTGCCCAGGCTGGCCTCGCACTTGTGATCCTCCTGTCTCGGCTTCCTGGGTAGTTGGGAACACAGTGTGGGCCAGCACACACCCAGCCTGTAAGACCATGATGGGCCGGGGGTGTCTGCTGCCTATGGGCGCAGAAGCGTGGGAGGCCGTGGCAGGAGGGAGGGACGCTGGCTTCTCACGGCCGGCTCCCTACCCTCCCTGTCCTGCAGACCGGCAAGCGCGCAGGCAAGCTGCTGCACACCGCGCTGCAGGACGTCCTGCACAAGGAGGAGAGCCTGGGTCCCCGGAGGCAGAAGGTCGGCTTCCTGGGCTGACCGGTTGCCTGGCTTCCCTTCCCTTTCCTTTGGAGACAGGGTCCAAGCTCTGTGCCCAGCCTTCCTTTTCCTTTGGCACTGTTCTGTGTATATTTTTTCCTAGCTGTGGAGAATTTACAATTAAAGTCTATTTTCTGGCCCACATCGGTGTGGCTCTTGTTACTCAGCAACAAGCTGTGGCACCAATGCCCCTGGGAGTCACCTGCTTGGAGTTCACAACAAGCCCTGGGAAAGGCCCAGCGGCGGGAAGAGGCTCTGGGAGATGCGCGTGCTGTTTGGGGAAAGTTTTTCCCAAGAGAAGCCCCTGACCCTGGGTGACCCTGTGTGCCGGTGCCTGGGCAGGGAGAGGAGACCGGTGGAGCCCCGGTCAGGCTCTGCAGACGGCCGCCTGGCCCTCACCCGGGCTTGTCCCACTCCCTCTGGAAGCTGCTCGTGTTCGCAGCGCTCCCTGGCATTTCCTGAGATTTTACTGCCGGTATTGCAGACGCTCAGCCTGCTGGGCCCCCGGGTGGGCAGGGCAGCCTTGGGCCCTGATCTGCCGTGTGCCGCGCTGGTGCAGCTAAAACTCCTGAGAGGACCTTAAGGACCCCGAGGAGAAGCTGGCTTCAGAGTTGTGTCCCCTGCTGGAGGAGCAGTGGCTGAGCCCAGGCCGCCCACCTGGGTTTCCAGTCTTCCCCTTCTGTATTCCCAGTGTGTGCCCCTCGGTGCCACATCACTCCGTGTCCCTGACCGGGCAAAACCTGTGCCTGCTGCCTGCTCACGAGGAGGCTGCGGCAGTGGCCGTGGAGGGTGAGGCCAGCCCAGGCCTGACTGGGAAGCTCGAGAGCTTCCTCCCAGCAGAGCCCAGTGAGCTGAGGGCATGGCAGCGGAGACCCGGAAGGCTCGGCCCGTGTGCTCCCCTGGAACCGGGACTGACCTGGTGGCTTCTGAGTAAACGAGGGGGAGGGCAGCCCAGGGACGTCAGCCTGAGGAGTGGAATGTCACGTCGGATGCAAGGAGAGTTTGCAGCTTCTGGGACCCTGGGCCTCGCAACTCATGTAAATTCAAGCCTGCAGAACCCCAGGGCTGGGGGAATCCCGGAGGACTCCGGCGGCCCAGCCGTGGGCATCGAGCTGAGAGTTCCACTTCTGGGAGCGAAAGCAGAGCGCACCGGCCCCGGGTGCGAGCGGGAGCGTGAAATAACAGAAGCTCTTCCTGGCATAGGCAGGCGGCGCACACCCTGCCGCCAGTGCGGGCCGTGCTGTGCCGGGCTGAGCACGGCCTCCTGTCACTGTCGCTGCCACGTGGGGCTTGGAGTCTGTGGTAGCGAGATGTGTTCAGCGTTGCTGGCTTCTCTTGGCTGCCTCGGAGAAGGCTGCAGAAGTGGGGTGGCCTCCTGGTGCAGCCGCATGTACCACCAGACTGCAGCGCACACTGCGGACTCCCTGTGCTGCGGTCGCAGACCAGCAGGGGCGTTTCCTGCGGGCCGCGAGGCCTTTGTCCTGTGTGCTCTTACTGCATGCCCGAGTGTGGACGTCCAGCTCAGATGGCCCCCTCTTCCCAGGAGGACCAAGGGTGGGTGGACACGGCGATCGCGCTCCCAGGCCCGCGTGGCCGCTCACGGTGGCTGTCTTCCGCCCTGTAGCTTTGCAGGTCCCAGGCTGTCTCCCCGCACGACGGGACATCCATGTGTCATGGGGCAGAGACTCTCACCCCATGGGTGTCTGAGTCTTGAATACCTTGCCCAAGGGACTTAAGTGTCAGGTGACTCCACTCCCAATTCCGCTTCTCTGGCAACACTGCTGACCTTTTCTGGGGGGCTAGGGGTGCGGGTTGAGACACGGTCTCACTATGTAGTTCATACTGGCCTCGAACTCATGGTGATCTTCCTGCCTCAGCCTCCCGAATGCTGGGATTGCAGGCGAGTCCCATTAGGCCCGGCTTCATACTGCTGACCTTGAAGGACAAAATGAAATGAGAGCCCCTCAGCACAGAGCCCTAGCTGGTGTCTTGCTGTCCCTGAGGCCCACCTAATGCAGGACCTTTACACGAAGCCCCTGGACTCAGTTCCAGACCAACGAGGCTGGACCAGAGGGCTTTATGAGGGGAGGTCCCAGGGACTGGGCCACATGGCCTTGGCCTTTTCCTGTACTGGGGGTCGAACTCGGGACCTTGCGCCCCACTCGTGGGTTCTGTTTTGACGGCACCAAGGCCGCGGGTCCAGTGCTCTTGGAGCTGTGCACAGGGGTGTGGGAGTTCTGGCCTCTGAGGGCCAGGCCGGGAGGACACAGCTGTGAGTGCGGAGGAGAGAGGAAGCGCCGTCCTGTACACCACGTGACCTTCGCTTTCCGCAGGCCCTGCCCGGCTCCGCCTCCACACCAGAGCCCAGGTTGTCCTTGCCGCCTGAGGTGTGGGCTGTTCCCTCCTGGCCACACCCCGGGGCGCAGCCGTGGCCAGCGGATCTGTATCCCGAGTGCGGGATGGTGCTGAGGGCGGCGGGGCAGCTGGTTCTTCCCGCTGCTCCTTGAGGCCGGGTCCAGAGGCTTGGGTCCAGAGGGGCCTGCCGGAGCTTAGCAACCCGGGGCACATCACAGGGAAGCTGGACGAGAGCAGAGAGGGACCCCGTGGCCAGTTGGTGCGACCACTCCCAGGCCGCCTGGGCGGTGTTCGGAGTATCTCAGAGGGCCGGTGGGGAGGCGGGACGAGAGATAGCAGAGATCCTGGCCCTGCTTGGTGCAGGAGACAGCGTTTTGCTGTGGAGCCCAGGTTGCACCGCTCGCCGCCTGTGACATTTTTGAGCCCCACTGAAATGAAAAAAAATAAAATGCCTAAACAAGGCTACAAAAAATAGTGATGTATTCCGAACGCTTGCACTGAGTGACAGCGCTGTGTTACACACACGGGTGTGGGGCGGAGGTGTGCGTGCAGCACATCTTCCTGAAGCGTCAGCCTGCGGTGCCACAGCGGCTTGGGGAAGGGCAAAGCTGTCATCTCCAGAGACGGTTGCACTTCCGGGCTGAGCAGACCCTGCCTGCGGGACAAGCCAGGCGCGTGCCCTGCCCTGCTCTGTACATCACTGACAGCACCAGCGGACTCCTGCGCACACGCATGTACACACATGCACACGCGTGCACACACCAACCCGCAGGTGAGGTGACCAAAGGTGTTTCCCACTGCTTACTGCAAACCGGAGTCCCACTCCCTTTCTGCAGGTCCAGGTGGGCCTGCCAGCTCATCAGGGAAGAGCCCAGGCCTGGCCCAGGGACAGGGGCTGAGCGGCCCGCACCCCACTCCGCAGACAGAGGCTCTGTCCCAGGTGCGCCTGATCACAGCTCCCCACTTGGCTCTCGATTTCCCCCAAGATAGGAAGAACTGGCTGGGGAAAGACAGGAGGGTCTGCTTGGAGCCTTTCTGGGCTGGTCCCGCCTTCTGGGCTAAGCATTAGCCCTGGACCGGGACATCGGGAGAGGTGACTGGGTGACTTAGTTTACGCAGTCAGTCCCAGGTTCGGGTGTGTGCCCAGCAGTCTCCTGTGACCTCGGCTGCCCTGGCCCTGACTGTCAGGTCCCTGACCACCAGCTTTGACCCTGGTGGGCTGTGGGCGCCATGACAGTTCTTCCCGGGCCACAAAAGGTCAAAGCCTGCACCGCCCTACAGAGGAGCTGCGCCAAGCGCTCACAGGCAGGGGCCACAGCTCAGAGCAAACCCTGGGCCCGAGCCCCTCCCCTGGCGGCTCCCACCGTGCCGTGCGTGCGTGGGTCTTGTCTTCTCTCCTCAGATCGTCACTGGCCCTGCGGCCACTCCTGGGGTCCTGCTCAAGTCTGTGTAGGACGTTGGGGACCTGCACAGGTCCCCAGCCCTCTGACACCGCCCCTGCCGCTCTGTCCTCCCCACCCCTGTCATCTTTTCGCTGGGCAACAAGACTTGCTGTGTCCCCCTGCCGCCTCGTCCCACCCTCCTGTCCTGCCGGTGGGCCTCTACGGGCTGCCTCCCTGTCCTGTCCTACCCAGCCTGGCTTCCCTGAGTGCCTGCAGACAGCGTGCCACCTCTGCCTCAGGCTCCCGGGTTCTCGCATGGCCGGGTCGCCTGGTGGAGTCGCCAGGGACCAGCAGGGCCAGCGGCCTCGTCCGCCTCTGACCCAGCAAAGCCCCCTTGGGCTCCCAGCGACAGGACAGGGAGCATCCTGAGTCCCCTCACAGAGCTTCTGGAGAACACCCACAGGCACACCTGGGACACGGTGTCCCTCATCAAAGCACGTCCCGGGAGATGGGGCTCTGGCTGCCACGTGCCTGGAAAGCATCGCCACACCAGACTGGGCTGGGGCGAGGACACGGGACACAAAGGCTCAGTGAAGGAGGTAGTGGGAGAGGAAGAGGAGGGTTAACGTCCCCTAGGCAGCTGCCACCCACCCGGAGTTTCGGAATGGGCGCCTGTGGGTTATGTATCAGGCTTGGCCTGGCCACCATGGGCCCAGGGTGGAGGCCTGGGCAGGGAGCCCCCCTCTCTGGGCTCGGGCAGAGGGGTTTAGGGTCTAGCTGGGCCCGCAGCAACCCCATGACCAGCCCTGCCCTGACCAGTCCCGGTCCCTCCCTGCAGACCTGTCCCCTGCCTCGGGCTCCAGGGCCCAGGCAGAGCCTGTGCTGCCCGGGACGCTGCTCCCGCGCTGGGCTCCCTCGTTCTCCCGCCCCTGTCCTCCAGGGTCGCCGCCCAGGACCAGAGTGTGAAAGGGCGGAGTGGAGCAGAAACAACAGGGCAGACACTCTCAGCCCGCAGCTCCTTTGCTGACCCCTGGCAGCCGGGCAGCTGGGTTCACAGGGCCTCGGTTTCCCTCATTGGAATGGGGAAGCCATTGCTCTGCTCACAGGCTCAGCGTGAGGCTGCGGTGGGCAAGGGGCAGTGGGAGCCGCAGCCCCACACCCGCTCCAGGAGGAGCTGGGCCGGCAGGGGTGGCGCGCGCCTGTCACCCAGCACTCGGGAGGCTCCTGGGCCAGCATGGGCTTCACAGAGAGCTCAAGATCAGACTGGGCTACATAGCGAGGCTCTGTCTCAAAAAACAACAAAGCAAAGGAGGCAAGGCCAGCACGTGGGTGCTGAGCAGCACAGCTCAGAGGCTGCTGGGCAGTTCCCCTTCTGCAGGGTTGTTTTTTCTCTTTTCTCTTTGGCACGCCCCAGCCACGTCTCGGGAGGGTTTCCTGGACCGAGGGCCTGGTGGCCACGGCCTTAAGATGCGCAGCTGGGGCGGCGGCCGCCACTGCTTCCCTCCCAGGCCCTGGCGGTGACAGCAGCAGCAGCATGGAGCTCCGGGGACCCCAGCTGCTTCTCTGCGTCCTCGCCTTGCTGACCCAGGTTGCCGCCGAGGTGCCAACCTCCAAGCCCAAGAAGGTTGTCAATGCCCGGAAAGGTAAGGAGGGGTCCAGCCCCTTCCCGGGAGCAGGTCTCCCTCCTCCTTCCTCTCCTTCCTCCTCTTCCTCCTCCCCTTCCTCTCCTCTTTGGTGAGCGTTGGAGAAGCGCCCTGGGACAGCAGCTTCCGGGTCATCTTGTAGCCACACACCTGGGCCGGGGTCCAGCTCAGGGTAACACCCGCCTGACATGCACGGCGCCCCAGGTTCATGCCTGACGTGCAGGACACCCCTAGCCCTGCAGAAGCTAGGAAAGACCCAGGTCGCCGGTGTGGAAGCTCAGCCCCAGCAGGGGGCGCAGCAGGGCTGTGCTCTGTGATCCCCGATTGGCCATGCAGTGGGGAGACCCATGTCCCCCAGTTGAGGGCCCGATGGTGTGGAATGGTGAGGGCGCCTGGCCCGGGACACCAGTGATGCGGAGTGGGTGTCACGGCCAAGACAGATGCTGCCCTGGGTGCGGCGATCTTGGGCTTCCAGCTGTGAGGTCACCAGCTGTGTGGACACAACATCAGGGGCGCCATGGCAACAGGTGGGGTGTGTGGCTGCCCTTGCACTCTTTCCAGGGCCGCACAAGACTGCCAGCAGCAGTGGGAAGGGCTGGGTCTTTTGAGAGAAGGTCTTGTAGTGCAGCCCAGACTGGCCTTGAATTTGCCGTGATTCTCCTGCCTCAGCCTCCCGAGTCAGGGAATTACAGTTGGACACCACCACGCCCACCTACAAGCACGGGCAGCAAAACCCAGACTGGGCATGTGGCTGGTGTGTAGGATGCCCAGTGCACACCCAGCACAGAGGGGAAGAGAAGAAAAGAGAAAATCATTTCCAAGGTTGAGCTTACAAAGTGAACAAAGAAAATTCCAACTGGGATGCCACATTTGCTTGGCAAACGCAATTCAGGTAAAACACTATCTATATTGTATAGGTATGGAATTTTCCGGAAGTTGGGGACAGTGACAGAGTATCTCTGGGAAGATAAATGGGCCGGGGATAGTCACCCTGGGTGGGAGGTTCAGCTTTGAGCTCTTTGGGGGTTTGGGTACAAATTTGTGACTGTCTACAAAGTGCTCATTTAGGTGTGTGGTGGGGCAGGCTGTTGTCCCGCCCTCTGCGAGGCTGAGGCAGGAGGATCGCCAAGTTTGAAATAAACCAGGGAAATTTAGCAAGATTACCTCAAAAATAAAAAAGGTCCAGGCTGTAGTTCAGCATGAAGGCACTGGGCGCATCCTCAGTATAGCAAGAAAGCCTGCTCTGCCCTGCTGAGGCTGTAAGCTAGGAGGCTGTTATCCACTTTTACTTTCTTTTATTAATTTTATTGGCACACTTCGACACACATAAACATCACCTGTTCACAGTGCACCTCCATTCCTCTTTTTCCCTCATCCCTCTCCCTTCAACCCTTTGTCCTTTTCTTTTCTTTTCTTTTTTGTAGCAGGGCTGGACCAGGGGCCCCACACCGAGCTCCATCCCAAGCCCCTCTTTCATTTTATTTTGAGAACAGAGTCTCGCTAAGTTGTTAAGTCGCCCAGGTTGGGCTCATACTGCCTGCTTCAGCCTCCCAAGTGCTGGGACCTGGGTGTGAGGCCAAAGCCCTTCAGAGGCCATGAACGGTGCGGTGGCAGGAGGAAGGGCGCCCTGGTGGACAGCAGGGTCCCCTCACTGGTCACCACTGGTCCCCGCTTCCCCCACCTCTCCCCAGACATCGTGAGCCCCAAGACCATCGAGGAGCTCAAGAGCCGGCTGGATGCCCTGGCGCAGGAGGTGGTGGTGCTGAAGGAGCAGCAGGCGCTGCAGACCGGTGAGCGCGGCCGCCCGGTCACCCTCAGCCCCGGCAGACGTTCCTGGTTCTGGGCGAGCCCCGGGCCTTC